TATTAATAATAAAAAATAATGTAGAAAAGAGATAAAAAAAATAAAAATAGAAAACTATACAAGCTTTTTATTTGGTGTCATTTTAATTGTTTTGGCGAAAACTTGAAATGATATATTTTGTTATAAAAATAATTATTCTATTATAATTTAATAAATTAATTAAAATAAACAACTCATCAGGGGTAAATTAGTCATTTTACTTGTTATGTTCTGTTCAGTTTTATCTTACCAAACGTTGAACAGTTATTCTATCATGTCTTGTCTAATCCTGTTCTGTCATATCCTATCTTGTCATGTCCTGACACCAAACACACCCTAAAAGAATCAAACGTGGCAGTTGTTTTGTTTCATAGGGGTTGTTTTAGTTATATCCATACTATCTTATAAAGCATTTGACTAAAATTCTTAAAAACTCTTAAAACCTATTAAAGCGATCCCTAAACACGTTCATCCCTATCCGATTTTATCCCTATCCTATTTCATCGCCAGCAGAAACCCAATTCCTAAACGATTTCATCCCTAACCCAGTTCGATTTCATAAACCCTAAACGATATCATCGCCCTCCCTAAACGATATCATCGCCAACCGATTTTCAAGAATACAGATTCGATTTAATCCCTAAATATTCTGAGATGATATCGATTGAGATTATATTGACTACAATAGAATTTAGAGATGCATATATATTGCTTCAGACGCAACCTGATTTCGGGTCTGTCAATTACTTCAAACAAATGGCTAAAACCTCAATCCTCTCGGGTAAGTTTCTCTTTATTTCATGACCTAATTCTTGGTTGATTCATTGTTCGATCAATTAACAGGTCGGGTATGCATGGTTGAATTTTTTTCCATTATGATAAACTGTGATGCCTACTGATTAATTTTGTGTATCAGTCTTTGTTTGGGTAGTAGGACACTTAAATGAGTATTTCAATTTTATAATATAGTATAGATAGATGTTTATCTTGTATTTGTTTATGTTTATCTACAGTTAGTTACACGAATTTAAAAATATAGCTTTAATAAGTTGTATTTACGCAAAATTATTTGTCTCTGTCGATGTTATAATACGGTTTTATGTGTTTTAAGAAATCAATAATGATTTTATTTTTAAATAAAATATAAATTTGAAGATATCATAAAAATTTGTAAAAAAATATCAATGTTAATATCAAATCAACTATTTAAAAGTTCTCATTTTTTATGTAATTTATTTTTTTATTATAATTTAATTTAATTTTAATAACAAAATAATTTATTTTTGGTTTAATAATATAACATTTTATAAAGATAATAATCAAGTATGCTGTTAGAACTCAATGATTATCCTAATTATATTTTAGATTTTTTATATTTAAAATGAGATGTTTATCATGTATTTGGTTGTGTTTATCTGCAGTTAGTTACACGAATTCAGATATAAAGCTTTAAAAATTTGTACTTATGCACAATCTACTTGTAATCTTGAGTTTTAAGTAACGTACATTAATAAACAGTACTTTTTGCATAAAAAGTGGTTTTTAAGAGTTTTTGTCAAATGCTTTATAATATAGTATAGATATAAAGCATTTGATTAAAACTCTTAAAAATCACTTTTTTATGCATAAAATACTGTTTATTAATGCATATTACTTAAAACTCAAGATTRCAAGTAGATTGTGCGTAAGTACAACTTATTAAAGCTCCATAYATGAATTCGTGTAACTAACTGCAGATAAACATAATCAAATACATGATAAACATCTCATTTTAAATATAAAAAATCTAAAATATAATTAGGATAATCATTGAATTCTAACAGAATACTTAATTATTATCTTTATAAAATTTATAATATTAAACCAAAAATAAATTATTTCATTATTAAACTTAAATTAAATTATAATAAAAAAATAAATTAAAGAAATTACATAAAAATGAGAACTTTTAAATAATTGATTTGATATTAACATTGATATTTTTTTTCCAAATTTATATTTTATTCAAAAATAAAATAATTATTGTTTTCTTAAAAACACATAATCTATACTTACTATATTATAAAGCATTTGACAAAAACTCTTAAAAACCATTTTTTATACGTAAATTACTGTTTATTAATGCATATTACTTAAAACTCAAGATTGCAAGTAGATTGTGCGTAARTACAACTTATTAAAGCTCMATATATGAATTCGTGTAACTAACTGCAGATAAACATAATCAAATACATGATAAACATCTCATTTTAAATTTAAAATATCTAAAATATAATTAGGATAATCATTAAGTTTTAACAGAATACTTAATTATTATATGTATAAAATGTTATATTATTAAACCAAAAAATAAATTATTTAGTTATTAAATTAGAACTTTTAAATAGTTGATTTTGATATTAACATTGATATATATTTTTTTTCAAATATTTATGATATTTTCAAATTTATATTTTATTTAAAAATAAAATCATTATTGTTTTTCTTAAAAACACATAAAATCGTATTATAACATCGACAGAGACAAATAATAAAATAGAATATTAAAATCGAGATGTGTTTCGCTATATTGCACGAGTACTCTTCTAATTTTTATATAATATAAAATTATATATAGTTTTTTTTCTTTAAATGGTTAAAGGACTAAAAGGTTGGAAAGACCAAAATTTTCCACACTTAACGAATTACAGTTAGCTGCTGTTAATTTCAGGGACCAACGTATTATGAAAATACTAACTTTGGAGACTATCTTGGAATAAACAAACTTAGGGGCCAAACATAAAAAAATTGAAAACCACATGGACCAAATCCATAATTTCATAAGACATTATGGAATCCATGCATATACAAAATCATACATATTGCACATATACAAGATTTCAAAGACGTAGTCATACTTTTTTTTTTTCAAACGATAGTACAATTTGACTATAAGAAATAAATATAGGAAAAAGAATTTAAACGTTGACATCATTTGACTATAAAAAACAAATATAGGGAAAGAAATTCAAATTGTGACACCATTTGACTAAAAAAATGACACTAATAGGATTCGAACTCGAGATCCATGTTGGAAGAACAATCTTGCAAAACGACTCTATCAAATAAAATTTGTTCTCATTATAGTTTCAAATTACATACGGTGACACACAAAAAGTTAATACAGTTACATTTTTCACGAACCTAAATTTTTTATCCTCTGAAGGAGGAATAATACATTGGCACCACTGTAGCTCCGTCCCTACAAAACTTCATGCTCGTGATAAACACACAGCTTCATGTTCATGATAAACAAAAATCACACGTATTGGTTGGATTTCATCCATAGCTTTCTTCAGGGACGGACCTATTCATTATGATATGGTTGCCCGTAAAACCATAAGAATTTAGAGAGTTTAAATGAAAACAATGTCGAAGTTGAGGATGGTGGTTGTAAATCACTTATTCTTGTAACCTTCAAACACTTTAGTGGTTTTAACGTAGATCCCTTCCTTTTTCATTTTTTATTTTATATTCTTATTATATTAATTAATTGATTATTAATTAAAATATATTAAAAATATGTATTTTCTTTTACAAATTACACAATTAGAAAGGTCTTGTCGACATCTTCACAACGATCCTAATATTGAATATTTTTATAATTAATTATATTTCTAATGTTAACACAAATAAAAATTAACATATTTTTAACATTAATTCAAGAATCAAATCGGACTTTAGTGAGTAGTGAATTAGGTATTTGTTTATATAGGATCAAATTTTGTTATGTTTATAAGAAGGGTACTCGTGAAATACATCTTGATTTTAATATTTTATTTTATTTTTTATCTCAGTTGATGTTATAGTATAGTGTCATGTGATTTTGAAAAAACGATGATGTTTTTATTTTTGAATAAAATATAAATTTGAAGATATCATAAATTTTAACAAAAACATATCGATGTTAGTATCAAATTAACTATCTACAATTTCTCATTTTTGTGTAATTTTTTAATTTAATTTTTTATTATTATAATTTAATTTAGGTACAATAACGAAATAATTTATATTTGGTTTAATAATATAATTTTCTTATAAAGATAATAATTAATAATTTTGTTAAACTCGATAATTATCCTAATTATATTTTAGATTTTTTATATTTTAAAATGAGATGTTTATCTTCTATTTGATATTGTTTATCCGCAGTTAGTTATACGAATTCAAACATCGAGCTTTAATAAGTTGTATTTATGCATAATTTACTTGTAATCTTGAATTTTAAGTAATATGCATCAATATACAGTACTTTATGCATAAAAAATGGTTTTTAAGAGTTTTTGTCAAATGTTTTATAATATAATATAAAAAATATAATATATCTATTAAAAGAATAGTTAAACCAGTCCTCATTAGTTACAGTTTGTTTCTTTACAATTGATTAAAGGATTGGGATCGGTTACTCCATTACCGATTATTTAATATGTCATTAGAAACCTCTTAATGCATGCATCTTAAGATGTTCACCAAATACCAAGTTATCAAGACGTAAATTTCATGCGATCAATGTTGATGTCTTTTACATCTTTAAAAGCTGATCAAGAAAAAGACGTGTCAAAATGACCGGTCTTGAACAGATTATTAAAAGAACAACTTTCTTAACATCTATCAATCATTTATTTATGTCCAAAAGTTATCCTCCCAAATAGCCTAGAGATGCACGAGGCTCGACCCTTCCAAACCGTTTTCAATGAGAGTAGAAAATGCCCAGGTTTTCCACAGACTTTGGGGTTGAAAAAAAGCCCAATTGGGCTTCGGTTAAGTCTTTTTAGGCTTAACCATGCTTTTTCAGGAATTCAAACCCGGCTTGAAAAAGTCAAGTCTTTCAAGCCAGGTCCAAGCCCTGCCTGATCGGGTTTTGAGGCTCATAGCTCACTAGGAGGGCTTTTCAGGCTAGAAATCAAGAATGATAAAAGTAAGGTAGTTGATAAATCCTAATTAAATTGTTTTACAATATGTTTACCTCCTATTCTTCCTTTCTTCCTTCACAACATAATAAACACAAGCTTCACAAAACTCTCAACCCTAACCCTAACCCTAAACATTGCACCCACATCTACCATCTTCTTATAAACACAAAAGCTATCAAATCTTCCAAAAACCTCTAACTGATGCTGGCCGAGTGATCTCCTTCATCATCGCTTCTACAAAAATCTGCACGAAAAAAGTACCATTTGGAATTATTGCATTTCATATCAAACAAAATACCAAACCTTATGCTATGTTTACCAAACTGGCTGATAAGGTAGCTTGTTAGCTGAAAAACTAATTGTTACTAGTTAGCTGATAAATTAGTTAGCTAATAAGTTAGATGACAATGTAAAATAATCTAAAAGGACGTGTTGCAAAATCAATTGGAAAGATATAAAGAGCATAATTGGAGAGTGGGAAAAATAACCCTAAAGCTTATTGAAACGCTACTTGCAAGTAGCTTTTCAAAAAGCTAGCTTATGGCTAACCGTGTGGACTATTTCAATAAGCTCAAAATATATACAAGTATGCTTCTCGTGTACCCTCCAACCACTTGTTTAACAATCTATGGTTCATATCATTCTACAAAAATGACCATAATTTCCAACAGGGTACATAATGTTTGATTTTGGGACTTACTTTGCTCATCCAAGTTAAATTCGCACGCATCTGTCCCTCTTACCATTACTGAACAATTGCCAAATAGATTGAATAATTTGACATATTTATGAACTGTTATGACCCTCTTAATGTCACAATATTTGACATTGAAGACCACCAATCTCGGTCAGTGAATTGGGGATTGAGATCTTGGAATGGTGAGATTGACAATTTATGTACAGAAAGAACCATCAACATAACCTATAAGACAGCTCCATACCACTTATCACTTACCACTTTCCAATTCCATCTGGTATAGAGCCACCTTCTTCAGCTGGCATGCCCACTTCCTTGCGTGCAAGGGGGTGATGACCCGTGGCATCACCCGAGCGAGACCGGGGAGCAGAGTCTTTTAGTTCCTAACTCGTCTGTATCTCAATCACAGCCTTCTTGTCCGTAGCCTGTGTTTCGCCGTGGACAACCGAGTCAGGATCTGGGTTTTTCACTACCAGTTCTTAAGTTCAAGACTCCCTAACCCTCTATACTCGGTGAACGCTAATCATACCCCCCCCCCCAAACAACAAAAATCGTGTTAAATTTGAATTCATCAAGGAATATTAAAGTTTCCGAACCAGATGCATCAACTCATAAACCCATTCTCGAAACTACTGTTGTTTCAAATTGCACCAGCAAAGAAAAAGAAAACAAATAGAAGAAAGAGAGAAACAAACTATTAGTAATATCCATATAGATAATAATAGCAAATTGCATGGAAATGCAATGTACTTTGGTCAAATACCAATTCTGTATAACGTGCTTTGAGAACCTTCATTTGGTATCTCAGATGTGATATCTCATAATCTCAAACATCTAGACAAAATATGTTTGCACAAAACATATATTGGACCAAAGCAAGTTGCATTTTCATGCATTCTCAAATGTAAGCTAGGTACTAAATGTATAAGATATCACATCTGAGGTACCAGACTGACCACAAAATATGAATTCCAAAGTGTGTCCACTTTCATGAAATTTGACCTACAAATAATAACCACCTTTGTGGCTGCCATCATCAGAAATAACCGAAAAGTAACATCATCAAGCCTGGCAGCCGGAACAGATTATTGTTCCCATGGCAGCCTCACGATTTTGATTTCAACGATATCACAGTAAGCATAAGTACAAAGAAGTTCTTTTTATAGTTTTAGCTATTAAAAGTAAATGATGGTCTTGTTTGATACTTGTCCTCCAATAAAGATCAAATACAGTGCAAGAATGGACCCTCAGTTACAAGTCTACAAACCAAAATTGATGATTGCTGGTAGAGATTATAGCCACAAATTAGATTAGACAATGCAAAGAATGCACACACACACACATATAGATATATTGGAGGATCTAAATCTAACCATTTGTAATGTTCAATCATTTGCCTAGCAACCGACAATTTGGCAATGGGTTCTAAGTCTTAATTCATGAAAGACCAATAGCAACAAGATAACTATAAATATTAAAAGTACAGAATGATGATAACCTTCATGGCTAGAAGTTAGAACTATAAAGAACCACAACTGGTCTATAAACCCATGATTTGTGTATCACTCAAACTCAAGTCCTTCTCGGCTTCAGGAAAACCGTCGCTGTACATTTTACCTTCCCCAGACCCTACTCTGTGTCAGAATTACTGAGTTCGTTTGATTTGGTATCAAACTCAAGTTCTTCACTTATACCCAGATTATACATCATCTAAACAAAGATGTGATATAAACTGGTTCAATCTAATATGCCATATGAACGTCTATTTTGATGAAGTCTTCATGTTAATTTCATGAATTTATTACTTGGGAAACATTCAGTTTATGATGAATCATTGAAGTTATTAACCGAACAGAAGATATAAGACAGGATCTAAGCATAAAAACACTCACCGGGCTCTGGATTCCTTTTTGAACGCTTCATCTTCACCAGCTGCAACTGAGATTCCATCAATAGTTTCATCCTCTGAAGCTCTAAATCCTTGGTGAATTGCAGCCGATGCTTTTCTAATTCAACCATCTGCTTTTGTTTGGCTTCTTCCACCCTTTGATACACCTCTGCAAACCTTGCAATCGCCTCAGCCAGTTGATGATACGGATCGCCACCGGTGTTATCAGCCTTCTGCATCCGCAACCGCCGTGGCCCATTACCACCGCTTGACCAGGACGTATCAGAGTCCTCAGCACCGTCAATTGCAGCAGCGGCCGCCGCCATCACGGAGAAATTACGCCGGAAAAACGAACTGTCAGTCGACGGTTGGTAGGCTGGCGGTGCCGGACGTTTCGATCGCGGGCCGACAGGGACCGATGAGGGCGGAGGAGGAAGTGCGGGGAGTGACGGCGGAGTCGAGATCCGTTTACGTTGAGGCGGTGGTGTCGGTGTCTGTGTGGAGGGTTTGAAGGAGGAACCGATCAGGGAATCAAGCGGTGCGAAAAACGGCCATGGAGAAACGTAGTTATCAGCACCTAACTCCAAAACCTTAGACTTCTCAACCTTGTACTTCTTCTTAAGAGTGTCGATTCGGTTCTTACACTGTATATCAGTCCGGCGAGCTTTCTTCGTATGGCCGTGACGGGCGTTGACGGAGTCGGCTACTTCCTGCCAATGTTTCTGACGGAGATTACCACGGTTAAGTTCAACGTATCTATCTCCCCAAGCCTCGATTAGCGTAAACGTTGCCTCCTCCGACCAGCAATCTTCCCTGACCGGGAATGACGTGTTCCTAGGAGGATGTGGTGGCGGTGGTGGTGGCGGTCGTCGTAGTTCTAGCGGCGGTGCTACGCCATTGTCATCCATGGAAGCAGTGGCGGCAGTTTCTGATTGATGGCTGGTGGTGGAGTTTCCGTCGGAAGATCGGTGAGTAGTGGCAGTAGGCGGTGAGACGGCGGAGGAGGGTGAGAGATGAGGTTTAAGAGGCGGCGCGTGAGGTGGATGTGAGTTAGATGGAGGGTTATAGTCGGATTGACATGACATGTTTGGGCCGGCGACGAGCGTTGGGCGGATTCTGATGAGTCTCGGAGGACCTCGTTTTTGAATAAACCTTCGGTTTGTAATTGCCAGGCCCTTTCTTTTTTATCAAATTTTCATTTCAACCCCCTTATCTTTTCTTTTTTATGTTTATTGACATTATTTTCTGAATATGCAACCCGGAGAGCATCTCAATCCAATAGAGTATTGTGTGAGAGAATAACACACTAAGGGTGCGTTTGGTGCGCAGACAGGACTGGACAGGACAGGACAGGACAGGACGAGACATGACAGGACAGGACAGCTGTTCAGCGTTTGGTAAGACAGGACAGGACAGGATAGAACTGGTTAAAATGACCAATTTACCCCCAGTGAGCTGTTTAGTGTTTTTTCATTACGAAATGCATTCTGGTAACACTGGTCCTACTACCACTACAGCCCTAATAATTCAACAACAACAACAACATTCAACAATCATAATCAATGTAAACTCTCGAAATAAATCATAATACTTCATTAAAATCCCTAATAAGTACTTCAATTAATCAAGTTGTTGGC